GGGAGCGGTGGTGGAGCGGTTAGCGCTACGCTGCGCTACAAACCCAGCGCGAGCCGGGTTCGATTCCCGCTCACGGCCAACACCGGTGACCATTATCAGAACCGGTCCTGGACCTCCCCTAGGTCGACTCAGCCTAAAATTAGTACCTGGTGCGGTGTGAAGCAAACATCGCCACTGGGGAGACAAAGGCGGCCGGGCGTGGTGCTGGCCACTCACCCCCTCGTGTGCCGTTCCGGCCTTCATAGGTGCTGCTCGCTAACAGCACTTGCCCCTACAGTCTGTTGCAGGCTGCACGGGGGATCTTTGTCTTTGTTTGTGTGTGTGTGGAGGGGGAGCGGGAGCGTAGCGGCTAGCGCGTTGCGCTGTGAACCCTGCGGGTGCAGTGGTATTACTGCTCACAGCCACCAACATCGGTGACGTTCGTGTGAACCGGGCATCCCCAAGGTCGACTCAGTCTCAAATACCTGATCCATACACACACACACATACTGCCCCGCACATACACACACGCACGGAAAGCCACACGCACAGACAGACACACGCACATACACATACAGCCACACAGCCACACACACAGACACACACCGACAAACACAGACACACGCATAGATAGCCACACACACACAGACAAACGCATGCACAGATAGCCACACACACACAGACACACGCACAGACACACGCACATACAGCCACACAGCCACACACACACAGACACACACACAGACACATGCACATACAGCCACACACACAGACACACGCACAGATAGCCACAAACACACAGACACACGCACAGACAGACAGACACACACACAGACACACGCACAGACAGACACACACAGACAGACACACACACAGACACACACACAGACACACACAGTCACACAGACAGACACACGCACAGACACACACACACAGACACGCACAGACAGACACACGCACAGACACACACACACAGACACGCACAGACAGACACACGCACAGACACACACAGACACACGCACAGACACACACAGTCACACACACAGACACACGCACAGACACACACACACACAGACACACGCACAGACACACAGTCACACAGACAGACACACACACGCACAGACACACACACGCACAGACACAAAGACAAAGATCCCCCGTATAGCCTTAACAGACTGTAGGGGCAAGTGCTGTTAGCGAGCACCTATGAAGGCCGGAACGGTACACGAGGGGGTGGGTGGCCAGCACCACACCCGACCGCCTTTGTCTCCCCAGTCGCGATGTTTACACACCGTACCAGGTACTCATTTGAGGCTGAGTCGACCTAGGGGAGGCCCGGGACCGGTTCAGATAATCGTCACTGGTGTTGGCCGTGAGCGGGAATCGAACCCGGGTCGCCAGATTCATAGCGCAGCGCGCACACACAGACAGACACACACACAGACACACACAGCCACACAGACAGACACACACACAGACACACACACACAGACACACACACACAGACACACACACACAGACACACACACAGACAGACACACACACACACAGACACACACAGCCACACAGACAGACACACACACAGACACACACAGACAGACACACACACATGGGACCGCGGCCACGCAGCGCGTCGCCGGTCTCAAACCGCTTTTGATTTATGGCTTCGCTTTCAAATCCCTGTGTTCGCGACACGGCGGGGGGCGGGCGGGCGGGCGAAACGAGCGAGCGGCTGAATGAGTGGGTGAACGAGTGAGCGAGTGAGCAAGCGAGTGGATGGGCAGGGGAGCGAGCGAGTGGATGGGCAAGGTGAGCGAGCGAGTGGATGGGCAGGTAAGCGAGTGGATGGGCAGGTGAGCGAGCGAGTGGATGGGCAGGTGAGCGAGCGAGCGGCTGAACGAGCAAGTGAGTGGGGAAAACGAGGGCGCGTGCGGGTGAGCGAGCGAGAGGGCGGGTGAGTGAGCGAGAGGGCAAGCGAGCGAGAGGGCGAGCGAGGGAGCGAGCGAGCGGCTGAACGAGCGAGCAGGCGGGTGAGCGAGCGACTGACTGAGTGGGTGAACGAGCGAGCATGTGGACGTGCAGGTGAGCGAGCGAGCGGGCGGGTAAACGAGCACGCGTGCGGATGAGCGAGCGAGAGGGTGAGCGTGAGAGCGAGAGGCTGAGCGTGCGAGCGAGAGGGTGAGCGTGCACGCGTGCGGATGAGCGAGCGAGAGGCTGAGCGAGCGAGCGAGAGGGTGAGCAAGCGAGCGAGCGAGAGGCTGAGCATGCGAGCGAGAGGGTGAGCGTGCGAGAGGGTGAGCGTGCGAGAGGGTGAGCGTGCGAGCGAGCGAGAGGCTGAGCGTGCGAGCGAGCGAGAGGGTGAGCGAGCGAGAGGGTGAGCGAGCGAGCGAGAGGGTGAGTGAGCGAGCGAGAGGGCGAGCGAGCGAGCGAGAGGGTGAGTGAGCGAGCGAGAGGGCGAGGCGAGCGAGCGAGAGGGTGAGCGAGCGAGAGGGTGAGCGAGCGAGCGAGGAGGGTGAGTGAGCGAGCGAGAGGGCGAGCGAGCGAGCGAGAGGGTGAGTGAGCGAGCGAGAGGCTGAGCGTGCGAGCGAGCGAGAGGCTGAGCGAGCGAGCGAGAGGCTGAGCGTGCGAGCGAGAGGGTGAGCGAGCGAGAGGGTGAGCGAGCGAGAGGGACAGCGTGCGAGCGAGAGGGTGAGCGAGCGAGCGAGAGGCTGAGCGAGCGAGCGAGAGGGTGAGCGAGCGAGCGAGCGAGAGGGTGAGCGAGCGAGCGAGCGAGAGGGTGAGCGTGCGAGCGAGCGCCCCGGGGTGAGAGGGAAGCACGGGCCTCGGTGCGCCGCAAGCATCGGAGCAGAATTCCCCCAACTCATTAAAGCGGCACGTGAGTGCAGGCGGCGGCGGCGGCGGCGGCGCCGGGATAGGTCGAGTCAAGGGTACGGCACAAGCGCAAAGGGGGGGGGGGTGTGGGGGGGGCGAGGAGGTGGGGGCCGACGACGAGCGGTACGCCTGTCACTATACCACCCCCATCCCCACCTTCTACACATTAACATTCATAATATTAATAATAATAATGTTAATAATAATCATCATATTTGCATGGACAGCACCGCTTGCTTTCAAAGTCCGCCTCCCGCCCCCGGCATCTCAGAGACGCCTTGCGGAGCTTCGCGGTTGGAATCCGGCAGGCCGCCCCGGTTACTACCGCTGTGGTGGTGCCACTGTTCGCAGCCGATGTTAAAGCTGCTGCTGCTGACGCTGCTGCTGCTGCTGACACTGCTGCGGCTGATCAGTAATTCATCGGCCATCCGCCAGTCCTCCGAGACGTCTCTCGCGACTGACCCACGACGCATCTTGTCTGCTTGTTACGTCCCTCCTCGCATAGTCACGATGTACAGCGGCCTCTGTACGTGTGTCTGTGTGTGTGCGTGTGGGCGTGTGTGTGTGCGTGTGTGCGTGTGTGTGTGTGCGTGTGTGTGTGTGTGCGTGTGTGTGTGTGCGTGTGCGTGTGTGTGCGTGTGTGTGCGCGTGTGTGTGCGCGTGTGTGTGCGTGTGCGTGTGTGCGTAAGTCGTGGGGAGCGGTAGCGTAGTGGTTAGCGCTCTGCGCTACGAACCCGGCAAACCCGAGCTCGATTCCCACTCACGACCAACACCAAGTGACGATTATTTTAACCGGTCCTTGGCCTCCCCTAGGTCGACTCAGCCTCAAATGAGTACCCGGTGCGGTGTGTAGTAAACATCGCCACTGGGGAGACAAAGCGGCTGGGCGTGGGTGCTGGCCACCCACCCCCCTCGTGTACCGTTCCGGCCTTCATAGGTGCTCGCTAACAGCACTTGCCCCTACAGCCTGTTAAGGCTATATGGGGGATCTTTGTCTTGTCTTGTACGCGTGCGTGCGTGAGCGCACAGGTCGATTCACCCTTAAATGAGTATTTGGAGCACTGTGTAAACCATCAGCACATGGAGAGACAAAGGTGGCCCGGGCGTGATGCTGGCCACCTATCCCCTTCAGTGTGCCGTGCCGGCCGTCAAAGGTGCTACTCGCTAACAGCACTTGTCCCAACAGTCTGACGAGGCTAATCGGGGGATCTTTGCCTTTGTGTGTCTGTGTGTGTGTACGAGTGTGTGCGTGTTCAAAACACAGCAGGGTGCCGTAGTGGGGGACACAGGGTGGCGCATCTGCCAGTCATCTCAGTCGGTCAACCCATAGCACCTGGGTCTGCCCCGTGACCTCTGCATCTAGCCTGGCACAGCAGGCAACCCATAGCACCTGGGTCTGTCCGTGACCCTCTGCACCTAGCCTGGCACAGCATGCAACCCATAGCACCTGGGTCTGTCCCGTGACCTCTGCACCTAGCCTGGCACAGCACGCCACCCATAGCACCTGGGTCTGTCCCGTGACCTCTGCACCTAGCCTGGCACAGCAGGCCACCCATAGCACCTGGGTCTGTCCCGTGACCTCTGCACCTAGCCTGGCACAGCAACGCCACCCATAGCACCTGGGTCTGTCCCGTGACCTCTGCACCTAGCCTGGCACAGCATGCAACCCATAGCACCTGAGTCTGTCCCGTGACCTCTGCACCTAGCCTGGCACAGCATACAACCCATAGCACCTGGGCCTGACCCGTGACCTGCCAGCAGCGAGCCTTCCACACTTCACGTGACAGCCTCAATGTGCACCTAGCCTGGCACATGCGCTGTGGCGATGTCACCGTTTACTTCATGACAAATGGCGGCTGTTGATGCGTGTGTTTATGTCATCCAGTGTGTTAGTTGTGCGTTGTGTGTTGGGTGTGTGTTGTGCGTGTGTTGTGTGTATCGTGCATGTGTTGTGTGTTGGGTGTGTGTTGGGTGTGTGTTGTGTGTATCGTGCATGTGTTGGGTGTTGGGTGTGTGTTGTGCGTGTGCGTTGGGTGCAATGCCAATGATAACGGCGATAACAATGCAGGCGATGACAATGATGGCGATAACAATGATGGCTGCGACGCCGACGATCGGTGGCACCGACAGCAAGGCAGCGCGTTTGTCACCTCGAAGCAGTAGTCCTGGCCCAGGATGCTGCTGTGCACGGCGCGGATCACAACCTCCTGCTCCATGCTGAGGTCAAGGGCCTCCACAGTGCTGGGGCTGAGCAGAGACTCGTGGGAGCGAGACTCCTGGAGCCGGGGCATCACATGTGACCTGCCGGAGGACACCCACGGGAAAGATCACGGGGTTGGGCGGTCAGGGACGGTCACTGGGAGGTCACTGGGAGGGTCACGGGGGGAGGGGGGTCAGGGATTGTCACGGGAGGGTCACTGGGAGGGTCACGGGGAGTCAGAGAGGGTCACGGGGTTCAGGGAGGGTCACGGGAGGGTCACGGGGGGTCACGGGGGTCACTGGGGGGGAGGGGGTCACTGGGAGGGTCACGGGGGTCAGGGACGGTCACGGGGGTGAGAAGTAGCAGCAGTAGCTGCAACTGTGGTAGGAGTAAAATAAACGTAACCATCGTCATCTTGAGCATCATCATCATCAGAAGCAAGCACTGAAAATCGAAGCCGAGAGGTGACACACGTCATCATGGTTACAATCATCCCCCATCATCAACATCAACACGAGCAGCATGAAGCGAAGTCGCAACTTGGTGGCATCATCGTTACCGTGACCATCAACAACGTCAACAACAGCATGAATTTGATGTTTGTTTTTGGTACGGTCAACTGGTCACCGGGCCCAGACCATCAACTCACCGCACGCGAAAACCGCTTAAATCTGTGGGTCTCTGCGTGAGTCTGTGGGTCTCTGTGTGAGTCTGTGGGTCTCTGTGTGAGTCTGTGGGTCTCTGTGTGAGTCTGTGGGTTACTATGTGAGTATGTGCGTTCTCCTTGTGAGTCTGTGGGTCTCCATGCGAGTCTGTGGGTCTCTGTGAGTTGCTATACGAGTATGTGGGTCTCTGTGCGAGTCTATGGGTCTCTGTGTGAGTCTATGGGTCTCTGTGTGAGTCTGTGGGTCTCTGTGTGAGTCTATGGGTCTCTGTGTGAGTCTATGGGTCTCTGTGTGAGTCTATGGGTCTCTGTGAGTCTGTGGGTTACTATGCGAGTCTGTGGGTTACTATGCGAGTCTGTGGGTTACTATGCGAGTCTGTGGGTCTCTGTGAGTCTGTGGGTTGCAATATGAGTATGTGGGTCTCTGTGCGAGTCTATGGGTCTCTGTGTGAGTCTGTGGGTTACTATGTGAGTATGGGCGTTCTCCTTGTGAGTCTGTGGGTCTCTGTGCGAGTCTGTGGGTCTCTGTGAGTTGCTATATGAGTATGTGGGTCTCTGTGCGAGTCTATGGGTCTCTGTGCGAGTCTATGGGTCTCTGTGAGTCTGTGGGTTACTATGCGAGTCTGTGGGTTACTATGCGAGTCTGTGGGTTACTATGCGAGTCTGTGGGTTACTATGCGAGTCTGTGGGTCTCTGTGAGTCTGTGGGTTGCAATATGAGTATGTGGGTCTCTGTGCGAGTCTATGGGTGTCTGTGTGAGTCTATGGTCTCTGTGTGAGTCTGTGGGTCTCTGTGGGTTGCAATATGAGTATGTGGGTCTCTGTGCGAGTGTGGGTTACTATGCGAGTGTGGGTTACTATGCGAGTCTGTGGGTCTCTGTGCGAGTCACTGGTGACCAGGCTGAGACCATCAATTCTCCACACCAACTTGCTATGCGACAGACGCCCGGTTTGACCAGGGGCATGCGGGCGATCCCTGGTTTCGAACCCAGGATTCTCAGCGGTGCCGGCTCCGTGCGACAGGGCCGTTCATGAACCGCCCCCCGAAGACACAGGGCCACCTCGCAGGCAGTGGGGGAAGTCAACAAAGCGACGCAAATTGCCTGGCGAAGCAACAAAACAAACGTAAAAATTGGACCGGAGAAAGACGTTTTATTATTTGCAGGCTAAGAAATCGTCAACGGCCGCGAGAGGACCGTCCGCCTGCAGGCCTGCGCCGCCTAAAGTGAATAATTTTATTTTGTTTATTGGGCTCCGAGAATGAACGTAACACGCTCGGCATGTGTAAGCGAGTAAAATCAGGGAAGAGAAACACGACAAAAAAAAAAAGAACAACCATTGACGGGGAATGGATTTCAGGTTTTTTTTTTTGTTAAGGCTTCCGCAACGTGAGAGTATTTCATCGGCGACACGGGCAGTCTTTGACTTACGAACGCCACCGGCACTCACGAACACCCCCGACTCACGAACACCCCCCCACTCTCGAACACCCCCAGACTCACGAACACTCCCCGACTCACGAACATCCCCAACTCACAAACGCCCCCACTCACGAACACTCCCCGACTCACGAACACCCCCCGACTCACGAACACCCCCGACTCACGAACACCCCCCGACTCACGAACAGCCCCCGACTCACGAACACCCCCCGACTCACGAACACCCCCCACTGACGAACACCCCCCACTCACGAACACCCCCCCCCCCACTCACGAACACTCCCCACTCACGAACACCCCCCCACTCACGAACACTCCCCACTCACGAACACCCCCCACCGACGAACACTCCCCGACTCACGAACACCCCCCACTGACGAACACCCCCCACTGACGAACACCCCGACTCACGAACACTCCCCCACTCACGAACACCCCCGACTCACGAACACCCCCACTCACGAACACTCCCCGACTCACGAACACAAACTCACGAACACCCCCTACTCACGAACACTCCCCGACTCACGAACACTCCCCGACTCACGAACACCCCCAATATATATCGCGCATGATTGTATCGCATTAACCGTTCGCGATTATTACCCTCCGCAAAAAAAAAGAGTCTCCCTTGCAGTCAAGCTGCTCGCATTTTGGCGTCGTACTCTGGTCTGACACCGTTCGAGACTAGGGCCGAAAGAAAGCCGTCTGTGGTTTGGACCAATTACTTTTCAAAGACAATGCCATCATATACAATCGGCATGGTTTTTTTTTTGTTTTAACGGTCTCCACGTTCACCACAAGCGCCGTGTGTGATTAATGCAGCACGTTATTCCTCGCCAAAGGCTTCTGTTTGGCGTTTCGACATCTTAACACCTCCTGTTTGATAGCCAGAAAGGGTTAAACATATTCTTATAGCCACCGGACCGTTAATTGAAGATTTGTGTTTAATAGGGGGAGGAGGGGTGGGGGGTGGGAAGTTGGTCGGTGGTGGTGTAATTTGATTTCGTAGGGGCCGCGCTTTAGGCGTTTAACGTCCGACCAAAAAATAACGTACCCAGCGCTGACGGACGGTTTAATAATATCCCGGCGATAGGTTCACCACAGGGTACCTACCGTGGTGTGGTGTACGCAGCTACTTGCTTCCCAGCAAAAGCTATTTTATGTGGCCTTTGAACATCCTCGCACACCTATTCCCAGAAAAGGGTAAACACACCTGCCACTTATTATTTTATACTTTGTGATACTGGCAAAAAAAAAAAGCTATCGCACGATACAGCTGCTCACGCCGAGCTGTGAAAGCTCCGACACCCGGTGGCATTGTCCTTGTCCTGTTCGCCTTCTATCTTAGCAATCATTGGAAAGATTTGATAAATCATTTCAGTTCTTGATTGATTGTTCACGCTTACAGTGCCTTTCAGACAGCATACATAAAAACAAATTTCGTCTCCCCCCTCCTCTTTTCAAAAAATAGATGGACTAGTCCTGGCAAACAGCCAATCGTTGCGCGTGACGCAAACGTTATTTTTATATATATAAATAAATATGCCGTTTTCAAAATAAATTTATGCAAACCGACACACCTGATGATGACCGTTTGAGTTATGGTCGAAACGTCGTGAGAATTTTTTATTGTTTTATTGTTTTATATATATTTTGTTATTTGTTGTTTCTCTTCAACGTGACTTTACCGAAAAAAACTAAGAATATGAATTACTGCAGTCACGAAAGCTTTAAATCAAAATTTCTGTGGCGTTGTTCTCTGGTCTGACACTGGCGGCGAGGACTGGGGGGGCCCATGAAGAAGCCCGCCGCTGTCTCTGTTGGAGGCCAATCAGTCTCAAAGACAACGCATCATACATTGGTATCGGAGCCATGTGTGTGTTTGCACGTTCACCGCAGGTGCTGTGCGTGTGGTTAAAGGAGTAACTTGATTCTGTGCAAAATGTATCCGTTTGGCGTTTGAACACCTTAATGCATCTCCTCCTGTTGCACTGCCAGAAAGGGGTAAAAACCACCTACCTATTCCTCATTTTACATAATTGCTACATTGGCAGAACGAATTATACTAAAACCAAAAAAATCGGGAGGACCCGGAGAAAAATCCACGTCACCATGGGAGAGAGAGAGAGACAGCGCAAATTCCAAATATTTTTTGTTAAACTAATTTTTTTCTTTATTTGATCAGGTGTAAGGCCTAGGGCTGAACGATTTGGGGAAAATATCTAATTGCGATTTTTCTGACAGATATTGCGATTTGATTTGCGATTTCACATTTTTTTGAGTCAAGCTACAGTTCAATATTCACTGTGTAATCGATTTAAAACATGTGATTACCACGTGATACCATCAAAATATAAACTGCTCTATATATATTCTAATGCAAGGATGAGAATTTAAAAAATATTAATTGCTTCCAACATGTATTTATTAAAATGTTTTTAATTGAAATAGAACAATCAAACATAGCACAATTGCTACGTTAAATAAATAAAGTTATAATATAAAAACTAGTCCAATAAGAAGTAATAGGACTTTTCAAATCGCAAAAAAAATCGCAGCCTTTGCGATTTGCTGATCGCATCGTTTCAAATTGCGATTTCGATTTGAAATCGATTAATCGTTCAGCCCTAGGAAGGCCCCGCCGAGCAGCTACGTAGCCTCTTTTCAGGAAGTGAGTCCCAGGCCACCGCTAAATGCTAGCTCAATGAAGTGGCGAGTCACCATCACCGGGTGGACATTTAAAGCAGCGGCCTTAATAAATACTCATGGACGCGTGGTTTTGTCGATTCTGAACGTCGGAGGGTGACACAAAAGAAACCCAGAGAAAAATCCACGCGGCCACGGGGGTAGAGGGAGAGAGCGAGAGAGAGAGACGCAAACTCCAAATACACGGCAGGCGTCAAGGGGGTTGGGATCGAACCCACGACCTCCTGCATACCCCAGGCGAGGTTGTTAACATTTCTCCACCGGTGGCCAATTCAAATCGAAAAAGT